ATCGCCAGCTCAACGTCTTAAATCAAATTTTAATCGTTTAAGTTCCTACTGTTGAGGTTTGTGTCAAATTTAAAGGAAAATAACCAATTATTTTTCCGGTTACAGTATCCTTTGACATTTGTGCTGATTGGGAGTAAGGCAATAAACATATACATCAAGGAATACTTGAAATTAATCTGATGCGTATTTCCAAATTGGAAGACATTACCTGATTATTTTGTATACAAGTAACTTTGGGGATACTTACAATTTGATGAAATAACTGGATATTTGTATTCCTTCAAACAATAGTGGTAGTGTACGAATTATTTGCGACATAGGAAAATTCCATATTTGATCATGGACACCAAAAGTATTTCCAAACCAAACTTACCGTTTAGCAACTTCAGTGATATCAAATCGAGGATCAAGTCCCTTCCCAACACCATCCAACACTGTACACATAAACTTCAGGTCAATATGACTTTTATAAAAATAAATAAATGAACTATTGCACTTAAGTACCGAGAAGGACAATGGGATACCTGAGAAAGCTCTAACAACAAATGTGAATGTAGCTGGAAAATGGAATGGTTGATCTGCAGCAATTGCCAGCAAGTCTTCACCTGTTTAAGTTATGAATCAAACATAAGTACTCAACCGGTTAAACAACCATAAAGAAAGTTGAAACAAGACTAAAAACAACTCATTGATTTAGGTGGGAACATCTTTTCATCTTAGCACCAAACATGAAATGAGAGGCTGATTTATTAGACTACAGTTGGATTCTCCAACAAATTATGGTAATTAACAAGCAATCACCCGGTAAAATGCAGGACTAAAATTAACTGTAATCAGTACTATTCATGAAACTGAGCATTCTATTAAACGAGTTGCTTTTAAAACATATCTAGATGACAGATATGCGTTTGGCTATCCCACTTTCCATCTTCGAAATCCATAATAAATTTTCTCTAACTTATAGATCAAGGGATTACACTCGTCAGAACAAATAGAACTTCCATTCGTATCAATTCCCAACCTTTCAAGAAACGTTAACCATTTTCAAGAAAGAAGCTGAACAATAAATTTGAAACAGCATAATTCGTCTCTGACCTGAACTAACAAAAGAACAAAAACTCCATCACAACCCAAGTGAATGGAGCTGACCAGGGTGGTGCCGCTACTGCAATATACACAAACCCGTTTTCCACAGAAAAATCTTCTTCGGTTGGAATACCTACAACTAATCAAAGGAATCAAACTTCAGCAACCAAGGAAATCCACTTGAGCAAGCAAATATACCACAGAAATAGAAAAGACAAAATAAATTATCAAAAGCTTCATCTATCAGCCATCAGGACACACAAGAACTACAGAGTACAGAGCAACATAAACTGAGTTTATCTTACAGTGACAACTCCAGGAGAAATTACTGCAAAAACTTCGCTTTCTTTGCGCTCAGGATACCATGATCATATGTCGAGGTTGTACGACTATCTGGCTCTATTCCAGCAGATTTCATCTCGTTCAATAGAGCTTCAGCCATGCCCATATCTCCTCGCTTGCAATAGCCAGATAAGATGGCCGTGTATGTGACTGTATCGGGTTGTAAACCTTGCTCAATCATCTCATTGAAAAGGAAAATAGCATCCTCAAGGTTATCTGCTTTGCACTGGTTGTCAATTAACGCTGTGTAACAGATGGCATCAGGCTTAGCTTCCATCTCCTTCATTTCACAGCATAAAGATAAAACTTCCTGCTCTCCAACTTCACCTCTCTCACAAACATTTTGAGATCGCACCCTTTTACGACTTACTTTGTGATGCCCGTCAAGCAAGACCGTGTAAGTAATTATGTCAGGACAGATGCCTTTTACCTTCATGTCATCAAAAAGATCAATGGCTTCCTGCAGGTGATTCGCCCGGCAATAGCCGTTCATCATTATGGTGTAGATAACTGCATCTGGAACAAGCCCTCTGCTGACCATGTGGTCAAACGCCCATCGGGCATTCGTCATATCTCCAGCGCCACAAAGAGCAGCAATAAGCTTGTGGTACATCATCTTACTAGGGCCATCACCAATAGAAAGCAAGATCTCAAATAGCGTGATAGCTTTCTCAAATTCGCCTTCCACACAGAGGGAGCTAAGTAGGTGCGAACAAGAATTCCTATTTATCACAATTCCTTGATCATAAAGTCTAAGAAGTAGCTTATAACCATCAGTTGCCCTGCTCACTTCACAGTATCCATTAACCATTGCAGCATAAATTTCCACAGTCTTGTCTTCTAAATTAACAAAATATGCTTCAGCTTCTTTCAGTTTCCCCCCAAAGCATAGGCCTTCGATGATCGTGCTGTGTGTCACTGCATTTGGTGCTAACCCTTCACGTTTAATAGCACCCAGAAGGATTTTAACCTTATCCCAAAGACCATTTCTAGACAGACCACCGGCAAGGACATTATAAGTAATAATGTCTGCTCTGAGACCGCTTTCGTTCATTTCCTCAAACAAGTTTATAGCATCAAAAATATCCCCGTGGAGACAGTAACCGCCTATTAACGTGGTGTAGTGCACGACATCGGCCACGAGATTCTTACACTTCATCTCATCAAAAAAAAGTAGGGCCTCGTCTAACCGGCCCATTTTACAACAGGAGTCAATAACAACATTGTACGCAACTTTATCAAGAAAGATGCCCGACTTTTCAAACTCCCTAAACTGATTAACTGCTTCAAGATGCATTCCCTTCTGGCACAAACACTGAAAGATTGGAGTGAGAATCTTACAATTAGTCCTGAGACCCCTTGCCTCCATCTCTTTATGTATAGTCAAAGCCTTAATTATATCCCCAGAATCACAATACCCCTGGACTAAGGCACGGTAGTCAGCCTCACTGGGAATCATCCCGTGTTCTTCCATGTCGAGCAAAACATTCTCAGCCTCCCTCAGCTTCTTTTCACTAACAAAACCCTGAATTACGGTAGTGTAAGCATAAGCATCAATAGGGACATTTCCAGCTTTGCAAGACTGTAAAACCTTGTAGCCAGAATCGGTCAATCCGTTCATGCAGAGCCCTTCAAGATAAGCAAAGTAGATAAAAGAATCAGGCTCAACCCCAGCTGCTTCCATCTCACTCAACACATTATCAGCTTCTTCAAAACACTTGTTCCGACAGTATGCCTTAATCATGATCGCATAAGTATACACATTCGGGCTGAGCCCGATTGTCTTCAGCTGCTTATAGATAGCAACAGCCGTATCGACCCTCCCAACCCCAACCAACCTGTTAATCAAAAAATTACAAGACAGCAAGCACGGCCCAACACCGAGCCTCTTGGTCTCGAAAAGGGCATCGATAGCCTCATCATGCATTCCTAAAGTAACATAACTCTTGATAAGGGCATCGACAGCCCGGAGCAGAGTGCGAGGCCCGCCGGCCCTCAGCTCTTCCGCAATCACCCCCAACAACTCCCACACGTCGAAACACCGGCACTCATTTCCCGAGCTAATAACCTCTTCCAACAAAGAATCAAGCTTTCTGTCTAAGCCCCAAAAGCAGAGTATTTTAATGATGGCCAAGTAAGTCCGCACATCATGCCGGAAACCCTTTTCCCCAAGCTGATAGAAGAACGTGAAGGCGGAGCTTGGCTCGCCCTGCATGGTTTTTAGAATCTCGACGACCTCGAAGGTGCTCAGCCCAGAAGAACTCCTACTCCCATCGGTGCAATTGCTTGAAACTTTTGCAGTATAACTGCATCCCGTGTCGGGGCTCGGGTCCTCGGAACCCGAATCGGAAAAATAAGGGGTGAAATGGGCAAGCGAAGGGACGGACTGCAGTCGGACGAATTGGAGGCTTCTGAAGAGTTTCTTGGAGGAAACTGACCGGATTTTGGAGACCAGCATGGAGACAAAATCATGCGAGCATTAACGGCGGCCGCAGTAAACCATGGGCACACTGAGGCTCGAGTATTTCACACGAAGAATCTGAAGTGCTGCTTAGGTTTATTGGCGGGGGCCGGGAATGTGTGTGCGCACTGTGCGTGCAGTGAAGGATTTTAGCTTTCTTATTTGCAGAGACGGAGATGGAGACAGAGTAGTCTCATTAATTTTGGGGCTTCGAATTCGATTATAGTTTATTTATTTATTTATTTATTTATTTATTTGGGCCAAGACCTAGAGTGTAGATTATTAGTGGACTTTGTGCTGAATCTTATTATTTGGGCCAAAAATATATACAATGCATATATATGAACCGTTCATCTTTAATTTTTTAAATTTTATACTCTTTAGGAAAACACTTTCAGAAAAAATATTATGTCTTCATTGCTAGTTTTGATTCTTTTGTTCGGAAATCATTTTTTACATAAATTACGCAGAAAAATAGAGGATCATCACATTTTATGTTCGATTTTACATGTTTTTATAAGTGAAAACATCTTCCATGCTCAGTCCTTCGAATTTGACAACGTGTGTTTTTCGAACATATGAGATTTTGTTTTTCGAACATATGGGATTTTGTTTATATTTGGGTTTTTCGATGTATGTATTTCCTCTTTCCATTAGCATATGATTAGTTGATGTTGTTTTTATCTCTTTTATTCTCTTTAGTGTAATATTACGTTAAATTCTATTACTGTTTTTCAAACAAATTTTTAAATGTAATGTTTAAAGTGATTTTGTTATGTTTGAAAGCATATATATATTGTATGTATAGCGCACTCTCACATGTAAATCGGGATTTCATAAATATTTCATTTTAAATTCTATGTATTGCTACAGTTTACTCTTACTAACTTACTGGTAACAATTTAGTAACCAAACGATATCATATAAGCTTTTCTAACTTACTATAACTTGACCCAAGGTCACAAATAGAGCTCGAGAAGACGGCATCTTGAAGATAAAAAGAGCGTCGAAGTATAGTATATATGTTTATAGGTATCATAACCGACTGCTAACAATGCACAACCCAAAACCATCCCACATAACATAATAACAATCCTGCCTGAAAAGAATTCAAGTACATTCGACTGCCTGCTTCTGCAATTATTATATGTAATCGAAAACAAAATTCCATGTATTTTCTAATACACTTATATATATGCATGTATGAGTTGAGAATTCACATGCAAAAAAATGGACTTGCATATACCTAAAGGAACTCGTAACAGTATTAGGCGAAAAATCAGGCAGTGGCTGTTCTCTTGTCATCATTATCATCAAGATTTAAAGCGTGAAGCAACTTTTGCCACGATTCTGTAATTCCCCCAGGCAGATCAAACTCCAACAATTTTCCACGTTCGCGGTAGAATTCCTCAACAGGTCGGCTCTGAAAAAATGGATATTACAAATTATTATTATTCATGTTAAAGTTAATTTGGAGAATAATACTTTACTCTTAATTACAAAAAAACATTATCTGCATTTCAATAATAAGAAGAAATTAATTTACCAATTCATTGTAGACTCTCAGACGTTCTTTAACAACTTTTTCATTGTCATCAGACCGAGTAATTAATTTCGATTCACATTGTGGAGGTGGAAGAAGAGGAGGCATGTACATTCTCGGATTTCCATTTTTGCCCTCGATGTCAATGCAGGCCACATTGTAGTTCCCTCCGCACTCGCTACAAGTTCTTCTTCCGAGGCATTTCGCGATCAAAGCTTCTTCTCGAAGTCTGAGATTGATTACCAAGTCAATATCTGTAACTCCCTCCAAAATTTCCTGAATTATCAGTGCATCAGAGTATAAAAGAAAAAGACTGGGTCAACTTTAGATAAAATCACCAAACTATGAATGCTTTGAAGTTAAAACTTTGAAAATGAAAGACGTTTTAGGAGAAGGGTGGTGCAGTTAATGTGTAAAATTTTAGTTGGTCATTCTTAAAGCATGTGTAAAATAAGGATCAAATGGCA